AAATGCATGGAGTGTGGAAAGACCTTTGCTCAAAAAGGTAATCTTATGTCCCATATAATGATCCACACAGGCGAAAAGCCATTTAAATGTATGGAGTGTGGAAAGACATTTACTCAGAATGGTCATCTTTCTTCTCATATAAGGATCCACGTTCGGGAGAAACTATAGCAATAACAATTCCACTTAGATTTATATACCACTCCATAATGCTTCACTGCACTCTCTGGGAGGTTTACAAAGTCAGCATATTGTCCCCAGAAATCTGAGTCCTCATTTTACTGATCTCAGAAGAATGAAAGGCTGAATCAACCATGAGCCTGTCACAATCAAACTCCTGGCTGTGGGCAATTAGCCTATAGTACTGCGTTCTAACCACTGACCCACCATGTCTCTATAGATTTTTATATGTATGCACATTGTACCTTTTGGATCCCAATGAGACAAGGTTCAATCCAATAAATGAAATTTAATGTGGAGTAACAAAAGATTTTATGCTTGGGCAGGAAAAAGAGATTACAGGAAACCTGGCTGAAAAACAGTAACTGTGAGAGGGAATTTGGAAGTCCAAATGGATAATCACTTAAACATGAGTCACCTGTGTGCCACAGCAGCCAAGAAAAGCTGGTTGTATAAACAGAGGCATACAATCAAAGGCTCAGTAAGGCTACACCTGGAATACTGTATCCAGTTTTGATCATCACATTACAAAAAAGATGGTGAGACTTTGGAAGAATTGCAAAGAAGAGCAGCTCTGAAAACTAAAACAAATTAAGAACAGTTGCAGGATTTCAGTTTGGCTAGTCTAGAGAGAAGAAGGATTAGGAATGACATTATAGCAATATTCCAGTACTTGAGAGGCTGCCACAAAGAGGTCAATTTATTTTCCAAAGCACCAGAGGGCAGGACAAGAAACAATAAATGTGAACTAATCAAGGAGAGAAACAACCTGAAATTACAATGAGGACAATTAACTTATCAATGTCTTTTTAAAGTGAGGTCTCCAGAACAGTATTCCAAATGGGATTTGATTAAAGCCCTATGTAGCGAGTTTAGATGACCTTTTTACTGATGGTGATACATTTGGTGAGGCATCCCAGAATTTTGTTTGCCTTCACAACTGCCTCATTTTGCAGTTCTTTTCTCAGTGCTGTGGTAACTTTGTCCATACAGTTGTGTGAAAAAGTGCTGCTGGAACTCATTTACTCAAAGGCAAAATATTTCTAGAGTTGTGGAAATATGTATACTTTGCATCTGTTCCAAGCTTTGTCCACACATGGAGCATTAAAGCAAGTAGTTTTATTAAGTTCCCTTAACTATCCAGCCTACTGGCCAGCCAAGGTAGTTCTTGACTTACAATAATTTATTAAATAACCATTCAAAATTTTAAATAAATGGTTTTAATTCAGCCAGAACCTGTACTTCAGAAAATCACCACAGTTGCTCTTGTTCAAACAGAAAGAATGGAAGTTGCCTCTGGAATGTGCATGCATTTGTATAAACACACATATATACACACATACATAGACATACTATGCATTCAGAAAGTATTCAGATCCTCTTCACTTTTGTCAATTTTGTTATGCTGCAACCTGATTCTACAGTTGTTGTAATTTATTTTTCTCTCATTAATCTCTGTATATTACACTTTCTGAAAGTACTGTGTGTGTGTGTGTGTGTGTGTGTGTGTGTAATAAAATCAGACTTGCAGAAGTCTCAACCTTTTTTAGTCAAAGGCTTCTCATTGCTAATTACTCATCAGTTACAAAGTCCTGAGGTAAAAGAAAGGCACAGTTTATAGACTGTGATCATTGTTGTTAATGTCCATTTTTCCCCTACACCAATTTTTTCAATGGAATGGGACAACTCACCAAAGCTAAGTCACCATGGCCAACTCACTGCAGGACAACTTGCCATGGGACAATTCAAAAATTATTTAAAAGAATTAAAAAATAATTTTTGTCATTTACATTTCATTTTGTTCCCCCCATAATTTCTTTAATTTTAATATGTCTTGTCCCTGAACAAATTGTCCCGTGGCAAGTTGTCCTTGATAAGTCCCACAGCGAGTTGGCTGTGGCATGTTTTAATATTTGTAATTTCAAGTATGTTGTTCTTGAGTTCACAGTCAATGGAGAAGCAGCAGCTCTGGTATCAAGCCAAAGAGAATCAATCTTATCATTTTGCCCTCTGCACAGGCAGAGATACTCAGTGGAAGATTTCCAAAACAAGGTGTCAGCATTCCAGGAAAAAAAATGTCAGCACCAAAACTCTGAGACAGGCATTTTCTCAAAGTTCCATTTTATTAAAGTTGTCATACTGGCACATCTGGGAAAACCGGAATCTGAGAGTTGTGGGCTTTCATCCAATAATTAAAAATCCCCAAATCCATCCCTTGCACTCATCATTCCATCACATGCCCCAATCACCATACATTCCAACTTAAGAAATACCTTAAACCAGGGGTTGCCAACCTTTTGGACCTCAGAGACCACCAAATTCATAATTTTAAATCCCGGGGACCATTAACATGAATTTTGACTCTCTCCCTCTCTCTCCCTCTCTCTCTCTCTCTCTCTCACACACACACACACACACACACACACACACACACAAACAGAGGCAGGGGTGGGATTCAAATTTCTTAGCAACTGGTTCTGTGGGCATGGCCTAATTTGTGGGTGTGGCTTGGTAGTCATGTGACAGGCTGGGCATGGCTTGTATGTAAATATTATAAATATGTAAATATTGAATTTTTTATAATAAAAGATCAACTTTTACCCAAAATCAGGCAAAGCAGGCAGGCAGATTGAGTTGCTCACAGAATCACAGATTAATTCAGAGATCTATCTTTCTGCCATTGGCTCCCTGAGTCTGTCACATAAAATTTGCTTGCAAGCAAACCCATACAATTTGCTAGCAAGTGTGGAAAGGGAACTTCATGAGGACAGTGGTGTCACCCAAGCAGGAAAAGCCCAAAGGGAACATCAGGCCAGCCATAAAACAAACTTGCATAGGAAAAGGAATCAAAATAAAAGGTATTAAAGAAGCCTCCTAGACAAAAGCCCAAATAATTAAGAAAACTAGGGAAACAAGAAAAGAAAACCCTTACAAACGCAAGACATGCCAAATCAGCAAAACAAACAGACAAAAGACAAAATATACCACAAAGGAGACAGACAGGAGATTACCACAAAACAAATATAAGAAACCATTAAGCTAAAAGAGATTAGGACGAGACCAATAATACAATCAAACCACCCCGCAAAGTTTGCCTTCTGCACCCCGCGGATTTTACTCTCCAGCGGGAATAAAGACAACTGACAGGATTTAAAACACTAAGAAATACAAACACAAGCACTCACACACAAAAGGAGAAAAGGGTATAAAAATCAGGGACTTACCATACGAAGCTAGCTAGCCCAGGAACGCAGCCTCCTTGCTATCTCTCGCCTTCCTGAAAAATAAAAAAAGATCCAGCTTTCAAGCAGTTGTTCGTATCCTTGCGCCGGAGCTCTCCCAGCGGGAAAATTCAAATCCTCAGAAGAAAGGCATTTTGACAGCCTTTCAACACAAGCAAACTCACAAAATTAACTCACAACACACCATGTATGTAAATATTGATTTTTTTAATAAAAGAACAACTTTTACCCAAAATCAGGCAGAGCAGGCAGGCAGATTAAATTGCTCATAGAATCACTTAGAGATTGGTGTTTCTGCCATCAGCTACCTGAGTCTGCACTGAATAATAGAAGCTTCAGGCTCAGCTCTGCTTTTAGATTAGCTAGAAAGCAAGAAATCTGACGATTTCCTGCTTTCTAGCTAATCTAAAATTCCCGACACAGCAGAACAACTGATGGTCAGGAAAAAAAAGGAAAAATAGCAACTTAGCAGAGTCTGCGGGGAGGGTTCCTGCAGGTCATGTGGGTAGTACAGCCTTGTGTTCCCCCGCAGCCTGGATTAATTGCTTTGGGGGATGCTCTGGGAATGACATTTCTCTGCAATTCACTAAAATTTGCTCACAGACCACCAGTGAGTCGCGACCCACCAGCTGGTGACTACTGCCTTAAACTATTCCTCATCTAGGTGCAGGAATAACATAAACTTGACTGTAAAGAAGAATGTTATTATGTCTAACAATAAACACTCTACAAAATCCCTCCTCCCAATTTCCCAGGCATAGGAATTCGGCAGTGTGGAAGATTCTGGTGCTAATATGACTTCCAAAGCTGACACAAGGAACAAATCTTAGGGATATGATAGCATTAGAAATATAGAAATAGAAAAGAATAGAAATAGAAAACTTTGTCACTTTAAATGTACACTAATCAGCATACATTAAAATGAAATTTTGTTACATCTAGCTCTCAAGGGATAACCATTACGCATATATTGATATATAGACATACATAAATATCACAGTCTAATTCGAGCATATACATCTACATGGCAAAAAAAGAATCCCGTGAATTTACAAGATGGATGGCATAAAGAACAAAGCCGTTACAGAATCTAGTGGTCCTGCTGTAGATACTTTGAAAACTCCTCCCAGAAGGGAGCAATAGAAACAGACTGCGAAGTGTGTGTGTGGGGGGGTCTCTAACAATGCTTCGAGCTCCAAGCACATAGTGCTTATAAGGAGTATCCTGAATAACGGGGAGAGAGAGCTTCCTGTAATCTTCTCAACTGTCCTTACCACTCTATGTATGGACCTTCTATCTGAGGCATATCTATCACCAAACCAAACAGTGATCGTTTGTTAAAACATTTTCAATTGTGCTTCTATAAAAAGTGGCCAGGATAGGAGTATCAGCCTCCAAGAATCCTTCTTCTGTTTCTTTCCAGCTGCCATAGAATGGGGTGGGGGGGAGATTAATTGGGCTTTGTGGGTGGAAGAGTGCTGGAGGAGTTGGTGAAATGTATGTTTTGACTATGCTTACTTGCTTACTGCGCAGATGCTGCCTCTCATCTATTCAAGCCAAGGTCAACGTCCTGGCGTGTCAGATGTCCAAAACACTGCCCGAAGATGCCCCACATGACATTATACACATCTCAGATTGGATGGCCAGTTTGAACTATTGGGGGTGGGTTCATGGAAATAACTTTGTATCTGTGATTTTTGCACCTATTGCCTCAGATCTTGTATTCTTCTGATGCTACCATTTTAATTT